CTGTCAGACTGGGTAAAATTGCAAGACCCAAATATACGCTGTCTACTGGAGACATGCCCTAGATTCTAAGATACATGTAGGTTGAAAGTAAAAGTATAGAAAAAGACACATGATGCAAATAGTGACCGTAAGAGAGCCAGGGTAGCTACATAAATCTCAAGGGGAAAAAGGACTTAAAAAACAAGAAATATTGCTAGACACAAAGACATTTTGTGATGACACAAGGGTCAATAAATCAGGAAGACATAGCAATTGTAAAAGTACACGAACCTAAGTCCCCAGAGTACACCAAGCAAAAACTATGAGTCAGCCTTGAGCTTCAGACTCCATTTATCATCTGACCAGTCTGCCGGTGGACCACAGGGGTGTTCTGGATCTCCGAGAATTAGCATCAGTTCAGAGCTGATATCTAGTAATTCCCCAGAGGCTTGGGCATTTCCTCTTCTCCAAGGCATAGTCACCCTAGTGCAGGCAACAGGTCCATGTGGAAAAGGCTTCAAGGATGATTTATGACACGTACTCGCAGTGACGCAGGGTCTGTCCTCAAGGAGACCCAGCCTCCCTTCGATCAGGGAGCTGTGGGTTTGCGAGTTGACTTAAGTCTTGAAACTGGATGACAGACTTGGATGTTCCATTGTGGAGACTCAAGTCATGCTTTTGGCTATAAACCGTGTCTTTTTTTTCTTCCCTATCATATAAAACAAGCAACACGCTAGTAGACTGCCCATCTAGCTCATTCGTGGGAATACCGTGATCAGATTCTGACTGCCGATACGTCACCGCTGCCTCTAACAATACATGCGCCCACCTGGTCTTTGGCAGGTAAGCGCTGCCCTTGACCTCTGATACCCTGGAATCCCACTAGCCACCCGAAATCAGGGAGCCCATCTCAGTGGCAGCACCCCTCAGTGATCACGTCTGACCACCGAAGGAAAGCAGCCAGGGAGCTTCTCCAGGGTGCAGGCGCTCCTTTCACAAACGTATTCCTTGACGCCCGAGTGAAGGAAGTGTCTTCTGGGCCTTCTTGTGAAATGCAGGTGAGAGTTGGTGGGGATAGAGGGCACATGTGATAAACCAACTCCAACATGACATCAGGGGAGTCCTGGTGTCCCTGTCTCACTAAACATAGGCTCCTGTTGAGTCCAAGTATTAGCCAGCCAACCAAAAAAGCCTGGAGCCGCCTCCAGCGTCAGCAGCCAGCACATAAAGTCAGTCCAGAAACCACAGAAGGTGCATGCATATCAATGAATTTAGCCCAATTTAGTGCTATGTTCTGACTCATTTAAAACCTACTCCCACACTTGTTCCCCAAGATTCTGCCAATATATATGAGCAAAACTGTGCTCTTCTGTTCATGTGTGAGCTTTTCCCCTGGATCACAGTGTGCACCTGTCCCTCTGCAGCTCACTGGGATGGGACTGGGCCATGGGGATGCCTCAGGGCGGCTGTGGTGAGTCTTAGGAGAATCCACATCTCCTTTCAAGGCCACTGCCTCAGGTGAGGTTAGCACCGAGATTTCAAGGAAAGGCAGGCCAGCGACCTCAGCCAGGAGGGCAAGCTCATCCGCCTGCCTGAAGCGCAGAGCAATTCCAGGAATCACCATTGTCAAGTTTCAGGATCCCACTCTGTCCCAGTGTATACTCTAACTTTCACAAAAGAAATGTGGTGCTGATGTGAATTCAGCTGATGCTGCAACTCACCAACATATACAATTAAATTTCGTGTTTGATCTCCTCAGTATGGCCCTGGAGTTATAAGAAATGGGTTCTTTTAGGGCTGCCATGGGAGCCCTCTGGGTCTCAGACTGTGAGTTAAAGGTCCTGTGCTTGTCAGTCTCCACGATGCTCCCAGGTGCTCAGGGGACTCCATCCACACCCCGGTGCTCGTGGTCATCACCGCTGCCATGAGAGTCACATGCTGCAGCCACCTGGCCGCTCAAGAGGCTCGTTTCAGCTGACACCGCATCACTGCCA